TCATCCGGTACTAAGATGACCAAATGTGGGTTCATAGGACCGAATATTCCGGTTCCGAAGGTCCAAATAATTCGGTTTCGAAGGACCAAATAATGTGGGTACCGACCTGTGAGATTTATATTTATTTAATTTATATGAATTTATATTTACGTTAATTTATATACTTCGATAGCAATTTGTATAATGATAAGTGGACTGTATTTCTGCAATAATCTCATAATCTCACAAATCTATCCTCTACACATTAGGGGGGGTTATTAAATTATATATATGCAGCCAATCAAACTAGAGTAATAGCAACATACATTGAAAAGGTTCCTTATCTTATAGTACAGCAGGTTAGTCCACCAGGTATAACTAGGGTGTAGACACCAAATTATCCTCTTTGAGGTAGCTTCCATATCACCCAGTAACTGGTGCACAAATCTTCCATCCTCGTCTTGACCTGTCAAAAGTGCGCTAGCTGTGAAGCCAGAATCCTATATATGACAAGCTATATCAGAGAAAACACTATACAGTACATGGAAATTGAAGACCTGGCTTAATTACCTTTAGTTTGAGGCTTCCACGTAATCTAACCGGGTCACCCTATATCCTGACATTAATGGCCATAAATGAATGATAAACGGGTTTCGGATAGACACTTAACTTGAATTGTAGACATCGTGTTGGAGATGGTACCTTTGGTTTCCATAACACTACGTCCAAGTAAAATTAACAGGAGCCGAATTTGCTCCCGTGTGAGCCTCTGGTCTCAATATAAACAATGGCTGTTTAACACTCCATACTAATGACGTTACTGGCCGACATTGTCCAGAATGATAGGAGCTAAATTTGCTCCACACGTCTCGGAGGTGACACAACAATGGCTCCCCCTTCCCCACTGACGCCTGGCCTACTTTGTCCAGATTTCAGAAAGTGAATGAAGGGTCACATTTACTCTACTTTAATATTGATAATTAAGTTAATTTATATAAGATGTTTTTATGATGGTAAAGTCCAAAGACTAATGTATTTAAGAATAATTCCCAGCAGAATAGCTGGTGAATTATAATGGTATGTGGTGATGATATCCCGTTTTCTATAGACGGTAATTCCACTACAGGTTACGTTTTCTATGGGTAACTTGTTGGTAACACAGCTCTTATCTGTCTGTATGATATTATTATTAAATGGTGTCGGATTTTCCGACACCGCTCTCTTAACATACGTAGTTCAGTATACTTCCCTGAACCTGCATAATAGTTGTCTATGTGGCAGGTCAAGCCTCGCTGGGTGACCTACCTGACACTGAGACAGGTCAAGCCACGCTGGGTGACCTACCTGACCCTGAGACAGGTCAAGCCTCGCTGGGTGACCTACCTGACACTGAGACAGGTCAAACCTCGCTGGGTGACCTACCTGACACTGAGACAGGTCAAACCTCGCTGGGTGACCTACCTGACACTGAGACAGGTCAAGCCACGCTGGGTGACCTACCTGACCCTGAGACAGGTCAAGCTACGCTGGGTGACCTGCCTGACCCTGAGACAGGTCAAGCCTCGCTAAGTGGCCTGACCAATAGCAGAACCTCACACGAGACTACTGTCACACTGACGTCTAAATACCCAAATATACGTAGATGTGATCAAGTGTGTATACATAACATGAAGGAAGAGGACTGTATACTGAAGGGGATCTTGTATACACAGGATTCCACTAATGAGGTCTTAAGAGGTACAGGGTATCTAGATACAGAACGGTAACCACGTTACTATTCTGACAGACAAACTAATTCACAGAACAGATAAACGTAGGAGTCTATAGCCAATTTAAGATGGAGATAACAGAGAATAACATAACCAAAAATAACCTGGTAAAAATCAAACACAAATTAGAGAAAACCTTAGACAAATTCTCCCTCAACGTGCAGATAACGCAGCCAATTACGATACAAAATCATTTCAATTTGATCTCGACGGACAATAAATCAGGGACACTATCTACTATCAATACAAAAAAAAAAACCTCAGATCCCAATCTCACGTGTTTACACAAACATTAAAACACCCAAAAGGAAAAAAAAAAAAAAAATAATCGGGAAGGGCTGTTTAGTAAATACAGTTTCGACAATAAGAGGATTGAGTGGGCACAACACAGAACTAGTGAACATCCAGTAGGAAAGGTTCAGTACCCAGTCTTCCCGGCAAGGATTACACCAACTGACAGCTGAGGTATATACAATATGCTGGAGATATGTTTGTTTGTAGAAGACTCACCAGGTCCATCTTAGGGCCCATCAGGCCCAACTTAAGGCCACACACATCAGAAAATGAAAAGACGGAGGCCAGATTCACGAAGAAGTTACGCAAGCACTTACGAACGTGCACGTTTTTCCTCCATCTTTGGTTACATTTATTAAACAGTTTACAAGCATGAAAACTTGCCAATCAACTGTTGTTATTGTTATAAACAGCCTCCTGGTGCTTCGCAGCTCATTAACTGTTTAATAATTGTAAACAAAGCTGCCAAGGATTGAAAAAAGATGGACAGGTTCGTAAGTGCTGGCGTAACTGCTTCGTGAATCTGGCCCCTGGCTGGTCCGTCCGTCCTGGACCGTTATCAAGTCGTATGTGCGACATTATCACACATATGACTTAATAATAGCCCGGGACGGACCGAAACGTCGTAGTTTCTTCATCATCTGGTGTGTGGTTTGGTCATCATACAGTGATGGTGACACCACCACCACACACAGTGATGGTGACACCACCACCACACACAGTGATGGTGACACCACTACCACACACAGTGATGGTGACACCACCACCACACAGTTAGAGTTTAACCCAACCAAATGTAATGTAATGAAGATAGGTGTAGGGAGCAGGAGGCCTGATACAAGGATGATACAATAGTATCATCTGGGAGAGTAAATTTTACAAGAGTCCGAGAAAGAAAAAGACTTGGGGGTTGATATCACGCCAGACCTGTCTCCTACAGCCCATATCAAGAGGATAACATCAACGGCATACGCCAGGCTGGCCAACATAAGAACGGCATTCAGAAACTTGTGTAAGGAATCATTCAGAACTTTGTATACCACATATGTCAGACCAATCCTGGAGTATGCAGCTCCAGCATGGAGTCCATATCTAATCAAAGATAAGACCAAACTGGAAAAGGTTCAAAGGTTTGCCACCAGACTAGTACCCGAGCTGAGAGGTATGAGCTACGATGAGAGACTACGGGAATTAAACCTCACTTCGCTGGAAGACAGAAGAGTTAGGGGGGACATGATCACCACATTCAAGATTCTCAAGGGAATTGATAGGGTAGATAAAGACAGGCTATTTAACACAAGGGGCACACGCACTAGGGGACACAGGTGGAAACTGAGTGCCCAAATGAGCTACAGAGATATTAGAAGTGGTTGACAAATGGAATGCATTAGGCAGCGATGTGGTGGAGGCTGACTCCATACACAGTTTCAAGTGTAGATATGATAGAGCCCGATAGGCTCAGGAACCTGTACACCTGTTGATTGACAGTTGAGAGGCGGGACCAAAGAGCCAGAGCTCAACCCCCGCAAGCACAATTAGGTGAGTACACAGAGATGGTGACACCACCACCACCACACACAGTGATGGTGACACCACCACCACCACACACAGTGATGGTGACACCACCACCACACACAGAGATGGTGACACCACCACCACCACACACAGTGATGGTGACACCGCCACCACCACCACACAACACTCACCACCACCGCTCACAATGCTCTCTCATCACATATTCATCACCTCTACTCGGTTTCCATAATTTAAATCTCTTCTTCCCCCTCAGACCCTCAGACCGCTGCGATGTATTCAGTGAGTCAGTGAATACAGCGGTCAGCGCTCTGGGGGTGTATTGTAGTGTAGTGTATTATGCTAAACCGCATCTTACTGTATCATTTTATTTTGTGTATACAAGATTTACTGTCAAGTACTTTTTGTTCGCCTCATTTGGGTAATATGTTAATATTCTGTTCGTGTTTTGTTCTCTGTTCTCTCTCTCTGTTATTCTTCTAAGTGTGTTCTCGCTTGCCCCGTGTTCCCTTGTTCTTCCTATCTGTGTGTGCACCCCCGAGGTCCCCCCTGAACACATGTGCACCCCCAAGGTCCTTCCTGAACACATGTGCACCCCCCGAGGTCCTTCCTGAACACATGTGCACCCCCAAGGTCCTCCCTGAACACATGTGTACCCCGAGGTCCTCCCTGAACACATGTATACACCCCCAAGGTCCTCCCTGAACACATGTGTACCCCGAGGTCCTCCCTGAACACATGTGTACCCCGAGGTCCTCCCTGAACGCATGTGTACCCCGAGGTCCTCCCTGAACACATGTGCACCCCCAAGGTCCTCCCTGAACACATGTGTACCCCGAGGTCCTCCCTGAACGCATGTGTACCCCGAGGTCCTCCCTGAACACATGTGCACCCCCAAGGTCCTCCCTGAACACATGTGTACCCCGAGGTCCTCCCTGAACACATGTGTACCCCGAGGTCCTCCCTGAACACATGTGCACCCCCAAGGTCCCCCCTGAACACATGTGTACCCCGAGGTCCTCCCTGAACACATGTATACACCCCCAAGGTCCTCCCTGAACACATGTGTACCCCGAGGTCCTCCCTGAACACATGTGTACCCCGAGGTCCTCCCTGAACACATGTGCACCCCCAAGGTCCTCCCTGAACACATGTGTACCCCGAGGTTTTCCCTGAACACATGTGCACCCCCAAGGTCCCCCCTGAACACATGTATACACCCCAAGGTCCCCCTGAACACATGTATACACCCCCGAGGTCCCCCCAGAACACATGTATACACCCCCAAGGTCCCCCCAGAACACATGTATACACCCCCGAGGTCCTTCTGAACACATGTATACACCCCCAAGGTCCCCCCTGAACACATGTGCACCCCCAAGGTCCCCCCTGAACATATGTAAACCAGACACTCTCCCCCACCAGAGCTACCACCGCACCTGCTTCAACTGCAAGGCGTGCCGCAAGCCTCTCGACTCCGTCGTTCACTGCGATGGTCCAGACAAGGAAGTCTACTGTAAAGGTGAGTCCTCACGTCTCCTCCTGCGACTCCTGACTCACGCGTCTCACTCCTCACTCATCTCATTCATCACTGGTCTCAGTCCTCACCCATCTCATTCATCACTGGTCTCAGTCCTCACCCATCTCATTCATCACTGGTCTCAGTCCTCACCCATCTCATTCATCACTGGTCTCAGTCCTCACCCATATTGAGTGTTTAATTATTTTATCTGCTACTGCTCTCCTGTGTGGTGATGGTGAGTACATGGTAAACATGGGTGGTGGAAGGAGCACTGTGGCCGAGGAGGAGAGTCAGGTCAGTAGGGGCGGTGGGAGGCATGTTTTGTGCGCTCATTATGTGGGTTATTGCAGCCATGTTGGTGGCCTCATGAGGCTCTATGTTGTTGACACCGTGAGGGACCCTTGTGGTGGAGTAGTGTGGTTGTTGACACTGTGAAGGACCCTAGTGGTGGAGTAGTGTGGTTGTTGACACGGTGAAGGACCCTAGTGGTGGAGTAGTGTGGTTGTTGACACCGTGAAGGACCCTCGTGGTGGAGTAGTGTGGTTGTTGACACGGTGAATGTCCCTAGTGGTGGAGTAGTGTGGTTGTTGACACGGTGAAGGATTATGTCGATGATCGGTGTGACACGGATCATTACAAAAGAGGTTCGTAACATGAAGAGCGGCGACCAAACTCTTGGCCCGGGTGCCCAGAGAGGCAATATTCAACAGGTGTATTGGACTGGAGAAGGTTGCTTAAGCTTATAGCCCAGAGCGTTGACAGAGGTGATGATCTGAGACTATGGTAGGGTAGAGTGGGTACACCTATGGTGGTGGTTGTGGGTTGTTGTGGAAGTTCCCTCCAGTGTATTACACTACAATCTTGCCTAGGTTAATAGCTTCTACTTCAGCAATAGTTGTATTGATCCACTTGTCGACCCTAATGTTCAGGGCTACGGTGGGGGGAGGGGGGGGGGGGTCACGTGTAATTTGCATAAATATATTCATAAATATGCATAAATTGAAATGGTGGTGGTATTTTCAAGATGTTATTTTTGAGAGTTCCTGTTGTCTGAGGAACATAACAGAACAGTTGAAGGAGTTATTGAGTCGAATTATGGCCGACAGTTAGGTTGTGTCTTAGCTCCTGTTCTGCCTCCCGGTGCTAGGAGGAGGGTTTACCTGAATACACCTGAGGACCACCCCCTCTCCCCGTCATTCTTGGGGATTTTTTCCCAAATTATATTTTGGTCTGGAGTATTGTCTTCTGGAGAGGGGGGGGGGTTATCTTGAGATGATTTCGGGGCTTTAGTGTCCCCGCGGCCCGGTCCTCGACCAGGCCTCCAACCTCAGGAAGCAGCCCGTGACAGCTGACTAACACCCAGGTACCTATTTTTACTGCTGCGTAACACGGGCATAGGGTGAAAGAAACTCTGGCCATTGTTTCTCTCCGGCGCCCGGGATCGAACCCGGGACCACAGGATCACAAGTCCAGCGTGTTGTCCGCTCGGCCGACCGGCTCCCGACCGAGGGGGGGGGCAATTCCATGGGTTTATTACCATATGGGTGAACAAGCCGCTCATTTATTGTCACATATTGTTACTCGTAGTTTTTGTCTTCTGTGTAAGTTATATTGAACATGTACATGAGATGAGCCTTGTTATGTCCGGTTTGTAGTGTTGTCGAGTTAGTATTAACTTAGTGTTGTTAAAGGGGTGAGTTAGTGCTGTGGCTCTCAACCACTCCTGATATGAGAGTTCATTTAGGTCTGGCATGACTCTTATCGCTCTGAGCTGAACTTTTCCAAAAGCAGATATGCTTCTGTAAGGTGAGGTCTCCATGTTGGCTACAGTTGTCCACACGAGGACGCACCACACACTTTTACACTTGAATAACCACTTTCTTATCCCTTAAAGTCAAAGGTTCGTTTCATTATTCCTGCTCCATTACCGAGGCTCCCACTTGGGCAACATTAACAACTCTCAGGTTGTGTTCTTCATCACAATACTGCATGGTTGTGTTGATGGCGTGGCGGTCATGAGGTGTACTGCTGAGCCCTACATGCACCGTCTTGCACGACGGAGCATCTCTTACAACGCCTGCATCTCGTGCTCTCACCTGGCCAGTGTGCTCGTAGAGACCACAGTAACACTGACCATGGTACTGTCCCTCTGTAACACATCACAGGTTCAGCGCTCTTGTTAGCTGGGTTCAATCACCCCATCTTAGTTTTTTATCTGACCCTAAACTACCTTAGCAGCCTGACCTGATCTATATATGCATGTTACTCCTCAGGTCGACTTAACCTACGTAAAACTTGACCTAATTAAGTTCATTTTATTAACAATAGATTAATGTATATAGATACACTATTATGTAAATATACGAATTGCCTTGTCTGCTAAGGCAAATAGTCCCTCTGTACCCCCCCCCACCACACACACACACACACACACACACACACACACACACACACACACACACACACACACACACACACACACACATACACACACACACACACACACACACACACACACACACACACACACACATACACACACACACACACACACACACACACATATACACACACGGGGTCTGGACAGCACGCAGGACTCGTAATTCTGTGGCCCGGGTTCGATTCCCGGACCAGGCAGAAACAAATGGGTAAAGTTTCTTTCCACCCTCAATGCCCCCTGTTACCTAGCAGTAAATAGGTACCTGGGAGTTAGACAGCTTCTACGGGCTGCTTCCTGGGTGTGTGTGTGTGTAGGAAAAAAATACTAAAAAAAAATAATTAGTTAATAGTTAGTAACGGTTGAATAACAATTGAGAGGCGGGCCGTAAGAGCAAAGCTCAACCCCAGCAAGCACAACTAGGTGAATACACACACACACACACACACACACACTGGATAGCTGGCTGAGTGAACAGCGCTCTAGACTCATGGACCTAGGGACCGGGGTTCGATCCCGGACGCCGGCGGAAAAACAAATGGGCAGAGTTTCTTTCATCCTGATGCCCCTGTTACCTAGGAGTAAATAGATACCTGGGAGTTAGACAGTTGTTACGGGCTGCTTCCTGTTCGTGTGTGTGTGTGTTAAGAAATATATGTTATTGGGAATTCTGACTCGTGGGATTTTATTATTTATTTTAATTATTAATTGATTAAGTTAATGAATTCGAATTTATAATTTAAATTTAATTATTATTTTATTTCTTACGATAGCTTAGTGGACTGTAAGAATTTAAATTATCCCAAGAGTCATATCCCTTCACAAGTTTGGGGGTTTATAAGTTGTAGCCAAACACTCGAGAATTATCGAGTAACAGGAAAATTTATACTAATCAGCTAGTTGGTAAATCTATTGGAGGTTTGAGTACTCAATCGCCTTATCTGATTTGAAGGCTTGAATTTGGGTACTAGTGTGGGACACGTGGGCACTCAGCCAGGTATGGCCCTGGTGGGTGTGGCGTCGATACGTGGCCACGTGTTGCCACGAGTAGATGTCGCCAAGTTCCTCAGGTTGCCACAGAAGATCCGCCGGATGGATACAATATAGCTACTGCAAATATCCTCCTAATCACAGATATGGCACATCAGTTATTAATTGTCACGTGATTGTGAGAAGCTCACCCGATTTTGGGTGTTCGCCTGACTCATCACCGGCTGCCTATTATAATATTATAAGGCCCGGTAATAACATGTAGATTATTTTGACAAACCGGATACGAGGTAGTCTCGTAGTGTTGAGGTAGCGGCAGCAGAGGAACGTAATGATGGCTCCGGTCACGAGTATGAACGTGGCTGTCCAGTGTGCTTCCTCACAGGAGATATGCTGGTTATATAATGGAGTCTCCTGCCTTCCCAGGCCCTAGTCACGCCTCTAGGAACAGTACAATTTTCTGCCCATTTATGGACGAAGGAAGGGAGGCGTTGATTTGAATTATTATATTATTTAATCCAGTCACAGGGAACAGTTTTTTATTGATTTTAATACTGGACTGGAGGTTTAAAGTGATTATTTAATATTTGATGTAGATATGTTATGGCGTGGCAATAACATCCCATGTTTATGGGAAAATTGCGCTGTAATCTCATTTTCTTTGAACGAATTACTAAATTAATTTGTGTTAGTATGGGTTAATTGATTAATACAGGAACAGCAACGTAATTAGTTGCATATTGTATTAAAGAATAAGTAAATGGGATCGGTTTTCCCCCGACATATGTAGTAGAAGTAATAGAGGAAAAATTGATTGGTTAGAAAGGCGGGGTTCAAAAGCTAATAGCCCGAATCTGCAGGTACAAATAGTACAAATTGTAAATATAAACACACACACACACACACACTTCTATTTCTTGTATATGTTAACGACATGTTTACAGGCGTAGAGTCCTACATGTCGATGTTTGCGGATGATGCAAAGTTGATGAGAAGAGTTGTGACAGATGAGGATTGCAGGATCCTCCAAGAGGACCTGAACAGATTGCAGAGATGGTCAGAGAAATGGCTACTAGAATTCAACACGAGCAAATGTAAAGTTATGGAAATGGGACTAGGAGATAGGAGACCAAAGGGACAGTACACAATGAAGGGGAACAGCCTACCTGTAACGACGCGTGAAAGAGACCTGGGGGTGGACGTAACACCTAATCTATCTCCTGAGGCACATATTAATAGGATAACGACAGCAGCGTACTCTACACTGGCAAAAGTTAGAACATCATTCAGAAACCTAAGTAAGGAGGCATTTAGGGCGCTTTACACTGCCTACGTAAGGCCAGTCTTAGAGTATGCCGCCTCATCATGGAGTCCCCATCTGAAGAAGCATATAATGAAACTGGAAAAGGTTCAGAGGTTTGCAACGAGACTCGTCCCAGAGCTACGAGGGATGGGGTATGAAGAGCGCCTGAGGGAACTGTGCCTTACGACACTAGAAAGAAGAAGGGAGAGGGGGGACATGATAGGAACGTATAAGATACTCAGAGGAATTGACAGAGTGGACATAGACGAA